AAAGAAGAATAGCTTGGAGTCCTATATTTACGAGATGAGGAGTAAGGTACCTACTTGTGTTCATGAGACGTACACATATGACTGGTTTGTTATTCAGGGTACATTATTCATGCAGTCATCCAATTCATCTCCTTTGATACATGGTTTTGCTTTTCATGTGGTCATAATTACTTGATACTGACAGATCTCTCTTTCATTTTTCTGAAACGGTGAGACTAATAAGTTTATCAAATGAGATACCCTGTTCTGTAGTTAGTGAAGAACTGGTTTTTGAGACTGTGTAGAGTGCCAAGCTGTGGATGCCATGAGTTGAACACCCATTCCTGTCAAACATTTTTTCGTCTTTCTCCGTGCTACTTGTCATATACAAGCTTTTAAAACGTATGCGTCTATTTTCTTGATGGGTTTTGATTTAAATATAAACTATATAATTGCATATATGGATAGCTCTTTGACACCTACCGGAGCTTTGCGAGTGACCAAGAGAGGGAAGGCATATCTAGAAGTCTGCAAGAGACTGAAGAGTGGCTTTATGAGGATGGTGATGATGAAACTGAGGTGGCTTACTCGGAAAGACTAGAAGATGTAAAGAAGGTTTAATTTTACTTCTCCAATGCTGCTGCTTGTCTTTTTATACTCATGCATTTTTCCCATCATAATCATAATATAATATATATATATCTTAATTCCTGTAGCTTGTGGATCCAATTGAGAATCGGTATAAAGATGAAGAAGCAAGAGCACAAGCTACAAGAGATCTGTTGAAGTGCATTGTGGATCACCGCAAGTCTGCAGATTCCCTCCTTCCCCAGGATAAAGAATTGGTACGTCAATACGCAAGCCAGTAGATATTATAGCGAGTCTGCTAAAAAATCCAAAGTAATTTGGCTTTGTTGTTTCAGATCATAAACGAGTGCGATAAAGCAGAGCAGTGGCTGAGAGAGAAATTACAGCAACAAGATTCCTTGCCTAAGGACAATGACCCAATTATATGGTCAAGTGATATTAAAAGCAAGGCGGAGGATTTGAAACTGTATGATGCTTGATCTCTCTGTTACCCTATTTGATACTCGTTATTTCCTGTTGCATGGGTCATACTGCTAGGAAAATTTATGTCAATGGTAAAATAACCTAAATCTTAGCGTTTTTAGGTGGAATAGTGAAAAGTCAATCTTGGAGATCGTCGATCTCTAAGCAATCGCCCCATAAATAACGTGTAGGATAGCATTGTGTGTGTGTGTAGAAAACATTGTTCCGCTCTCTTACATGTCGATCATCATGATTTTACTTCTTTCTTTCTTTTTTTTGGGACCTGGGTCATCATGATTTTATTTCAGATTATCATCAATGTTATATTTGTGGCTGTCAGGTTGTGCCAACAGGTGCTGGGATCCAAGGGTTCGTCAACAGTTCCAGAGGACAAAGGCAAAGACAAGCCAGATACTTCCAGTCACCTTTGATGAATCTCTTGATATTGATAGGCAAAGACACAAATTTTCATTATACTCCTGACTAAATTTTCTTCTTTCTTTTCTGGTTCTTTGTCTTTTTGTTCTGGAAAGTGAATAGGTTCAAGTAGGTGGAGTGATTAGGTTATGGATCAAATATTTGTGTGTTCTAAAGGTTGCAACTCATTTTTGTGTTCTCTCATTTCTGTTGTTGGCACATCTAGAGTTGTCCACTGTACCTTTTTCTGATGTCCATCCAACTCCAACCAGTTGAGCAAATACTTGGCGACGAAGTTATCAATAAAATTGTGCTTTATACTATTTAGGATTATGTATAGTGTTCTTGAGGCAAATGTTATGTATCCATCTTTATCATGCAACTCTAGTTAACTGTTGACGAATTAACACCAAAAGCCATAGCGTTCCTATAATAATAAAATCAGACATTAATGAAAGGAATGGATTAAGTAATGAACAACTGCTTCAACGTCATACAATGCTTATCTCCAAAGTTCAGTTTAAATTTTTTGGTTAAAAAAAAAAGCTTAGTTTAATTTTGGGTTTCTGTTTCAAAATTTTTACCAAATAAAATTATACATATTTATATATAAAAAATTGAAAAAAAAAATTGCCAACAGCAAACCGCCTCTTTTTTTGGTGACAAAATTTATAAACAGCCTTCTTTATGATGCTTGTCACGCGTCAACAATTCTAAAGAATGTTCTACCGAACAAAAACACAATTATAAGTATTCTAGGACCCTTTCGTCTTTGCGAGAGGCACTTCTGAAGAGAATACACGTATAGGGGGATGCTTATACATGCACATATGAGCGCGTGTATTCATTTTTGTAGTCTGATTTTTAGTTCCTCCCATTGCCTGCCTGACTTCGTCTACCTTGGTTAGTCAAGTTATTTGCTGATATGCCTGTATGTACTTGAGTCTTGAGCTCATACTTCACATTCTCAACTGAATCCCAGTCACAAATTAAATCAAAACCACTGAACTTACCACTTCAACGTGCAATTCTTCAACTTCATACGTTCTTGCCAGTTTCTTTTAAGCTTCGGTCCCCCTGGATTAAGACATCAATGATGACTTTAGACAAAGTCCCATTGGTCATCAACTTTCTGGCTTGCAAGTCAACTCTTAGTCTGCCATGTTCTTGAGCTGCTAAAACGCATTGAAACTGCAAAGAACATTCATGATTATCAGGAAAATTCAACATCCCAGACGTCCACATCTGGAAATATACATGCATGAGAAGAAATTTCAGACAATCTAGGGCCTTGGTCCATCTTTGTTGGGCACTGTTGACCAGTAGGACCACAACTCTAGAATCTACAGAACCACTTGGGTAGCTCTAGAAGAACTCGGCATAGGGAATTCGGTCGACATCAAATGGCCCTAGATGACAGGGAATTGTTTGTGTGAATTTTATCTCGGTCAATTCACCATGCAACAAGAGCCCCGAATCAGATTCCGCGCGTGTTAACTAGCTGTTTGCCAATTTCCTCAACACATAAAAAGAAGCCGGTGGTAATTGAACCAAAATCTTGCCATGAGATCTATGACTAATGTGCATGATGTGGGAAAGACAGACAGGAACCAACGGCTTTACACTAAGATTCAGTTCGTTTTCTTCTTGGCACTGGTTCCCTTCTTTGATTTTTTGAATCCTGATCCACTTTCCTGCAAAATTCAAAGTCATTCAGAGCCAGATCCATCCCGCAAATACAGCAATCACTAGAGGATGCAATTCACATTTACCCTCCGATAATGCCTATAAGCAGCTCGGCCTGTCAACTCCTGCCCATCTTTGGTGACATATACCTGCAATGAACAGAGGATCAAGATCTCACGTAATATGCCAAACTATGCTTTGAACTAATAATCGCATATTTAAGCCATTCACTTGACAAATTTCAATTAATGATAACTACAAGATAAATGCAAGCCAGCAGCATTAGCATTATTGCCATTATATGTTCAAATAGTGAAGACAGTCTAATATATTGCTGTACAAGCCATCAAAATTCAACATTTAAACCTTCATCAAAACATAACAACTACATTTGGACATGGAGAAGTTTGCTGGTGGTTAGAAGAGCCATAACATGCAGTGAGCATAACTGTCAGCAGTATTGAGAAATTTGAAAAGCAATAACCAAAAACTATCCATTATGCATTGATTATAAAAAATACTCCTTCAATCCTTAATGTAGGATCTAATTAGAGAGTTGATATCAGTCTTATATGTAAGACTTATTCAACATGTTTATCAATTTTTTTCCAAATTAACCTTATTGATATTCCCCCAATAATGATCAAATAAGAGAGGGATGGAGGGAATTAAGAAAGATACTTAAGTGTCTTAGAAAAAACATATCATATTAAATAATTTAACTAATATTCTTAATCTATTCAATTAATTAATGAGATCTTACATTAAGAACTAGAAGAGTAGAATAGCCAACCTAGTGCTACATATTAAAATATATAGCAATTGAAGCAATGGTATCTTACAGAATGCCAGACCCACAAAAAAAAAAAAAAAGGCAGAATGAGAGTAACAAATTAGTTATTGTCTAGATGTTGGCATATACAAAGGTAAATTAAGGGCATTGTGTTATACTAGAAAGGAATTCCAAGGATCAAATCACACAGCACTATTTCCACCGAAGACAAAAATCATGATACGTGATGCTCCTACATTTCACTATATCCATTAGTATCCTTAACAGCATACAAGAAGGATTTTCCTCACATGATAATCATAAAGTTACCATTTTTTAATCAATCAGTAGACATCATTTCTATAGCCTGAATGTGCCGTCAGTCAAGTGAATAATTTCAATTAGTTGACCACATTAAAAACACTAAACAAATATGAAAGTATCAGTCTGGCCTCACCTTTCTTCCATCTGGTGCCGTAAACCAATGACCCACAGATTTACCCTTTGCTTGAACACGTCTTCTGCCTGCATCCTTCGGCCTGTTGGCACAGTTCTTTGGTTCCACCCAATTTGCAGAAGCATGCAAGATTTCTGAAGAAGCAGGCATGTTTGCTTTACTTTTTCCCTTTGACGAAGTTTTTGTTTTACTTCTTTTGGCTGCTGTCCTCTTAGAAGATTCCCCACCGCCTAAAGAAGAATTAATTTTCGGAGTCACCCAGCCCCCAGAAGCATGAACAGGTTCTTCAACAGCCACTTCTTTTGGTTTCTTTCTTCCTCTAGTCGAACTTTTCTCAACACAACCATTCCGAACTTCCTTTCTTTTGGAAGCTTCTCCATTGCCAAATTGTCCCCTGAAATCAAAATAAACCCATAATGCATCATAGCCTCCAGAGATTAGTCTATCATTTTTAAAACTAATACCAATAGATGCCAATGGTCAGATAAAAAGTCAACGGAATGTACATGTAATCAATATGTGATGCGTTAGGTTGGTGGTTCACTTTGTCAACACCTAGCGGATAAAAATTGCACAGGCGACTTCGAACTAATTGCCTAATTCTTGGATCCTTGTGGAAAAAATATTGATGGGCTGGAGGAGGTGGATAAGCTGAATTCCATATTTGTTCATTCCTTTGACAGCTAGTGGACTCAAACAAGCTCTCATTGTGACTTGTGGATACTGGTGTTTCCACGTCTTTGTCCATTGCAGAACGGAAGTATTCTTCACAAACCTCATTCAGTGCAGGTGTTGGAATTGAAAAGCTCTTCACTGGAGAGAAATCTTTCCATAGATCCTGATTTTGGTGCCTCCTAATTGATGCTTTTCTACTTTGGTCAAAAGAAGTTACAAATTCGCTTGACTTACATGATGGTTCCTTGAAGCATGGATCAATCTTGTGGCCACCCCTAACATCTTCACTTACAGGCTCATCAGAATCAGAATCAGAATCAAGTAACTGAAACCTACGAAGAGGACTAGTTGTCAACTTTGGAAACATCAACCCACTCTGGCCCATCTCCATTGGGGCAGAACCCAGGATACCTCCTGAAGATTCTTTTATTTTCCTTTCTTTGCAGTTTCCAGATGAATGAGTAGTTAAAACTCCAGACCCATTCAATGAAACTTTGGAGCTGCTACATAAAGGTTGATTCCATTTTGATGGGCGTGCTTGACCTGACATGGAAGAAGCACAATAAATTTAGTGACAAATAAAGCATAAGCAAATCAAAATATGATTTGAAATTTGCACACAGGGAAGAGTAACTATAATGCAAGGACTGAAATATGGAGTTCATCGAACCATGTCCATTAACAGATGTTATAATCGATAGGGTTTGGTATTTCACTGTATTAAAAGGTGATAACAATTTATATGGCTGCACCCATTGAAGACCGAAATTATTCTAAACACCTAGAGAGGCCTAATTACTTGAACTAATGAAGTAGTTCTCAAATCATATATCCTAAAGAACCACCGAATAGTGATAAAAAAAAAAACTAGAAGGATCGAAGGAAAGAGAATTTCCAAACCCCCATCTTCTCCTTCGGGAACGCTATTAAGTTCAGTTCGAAACAGGTATTAATTCAATGAGACTTCTTTCAATATTGTCCCTGCCTCCCGACTATATAAAAAGATCAATAAATGCACAACAAAGTACTGACCCATTCCAATCAAGGGAACCTCCTCTTTCGAGAAACGTTATTACGAAATCCAAGACAAGAAGAGTAGATAGAAAGAGGTGCGACGAGGTATAAGCTGTTACCGTGAAGGTCTTCCTCGTCAGAGAAATCCTCGATATCATCATCACCGTCAAACCCCGACGGTAGCCCCTTCTGCCTCTGGACGGACGACGCCGACCCATCACCTGGCCCTCGGCGTAGCCTCTTCAGAATCCGAGGTGGTGGGTCAGGAGCCATATCCGGGTCAGACTCGGCCACATCGGGGCCGAAGCCTTCCTCATCCTCCGCGCGCGCAGAAGCACGGGGAGGACTGAGCGGAGAACGAGGAGCTGATTCATCGACAGTGTGATCCAAATCAAGACCGAGAGAGAAGGAGGGAGCTTCACAATCTGCCATCGAAGCAGAATTACACGGAATGGGAAGTGAAAGATGAAATGTAAACGAAAGATCCGAAGAGTTGGGTTTTGAATTTGAGAAGAAAATGGAGGGAATTGATGAAAGTAGAATAATTTGGCGGGTCGGTGAACGAGGCTTGGGTGAAACCGTGGAAGTAAAACGCGGGCTGGCCAGTTCGGTCCGCCCGGATTTCACCAATAGTTATATAATTTTTTTCAATAAAAAAGCGTAATATTATTAGATTTCTCTGGTAAAAAAAAAATTATTAGATAAGAGAATACCACTGCAAATGAAGAAGAATGATATATAGCTGCATAGATGACTCACTTGTATTTAAATCCAGTTATAACAATATAAATTGAAGGATAGATGAATTTTTAAAAATATAATATCACCTCTTTATTTTTTTATCATTTTAACACATATTCGAACTTTTTATTAAAAAAATTTTCCATTCTAGATTTTTAAATAATTTTCATTTTGAAATTTCAATGAGTCTTAATTATATTTGTTTTTTTATGTTCAATTTCTTTAGAATAAAATGACATCGTGTAATGATTTCTCAAAATATCAAATTAAATATCTATTTCAATATGTATTTGTGTACTTACAAAAACCTAAGTTTTGCCAACACAATTATTGCAAATATGATATTAACAAGATATATAACTATTGCCATAAATATATAATGCTTTTAGACCCATTTGATTCATTGTTGCATACAAAGTGATATGATTTTGAATTCATTTGGATATTCAATGATTTCATCTACAAGACGGGTAAAATATAAAGTTGTTCATTTTTCCGATGCAATTTTCTTGAGTTAGTGATATATGCACAAATTATTTTAATTCATATAACATTTATGCATTGAACGGTCCTTTTGGACATGACTCTGGCAATTTATATCTTGCAATCACTTTTATGTAAATTTCAATATTTAATGAGCCATTTACATACGCTGTAACAACATCCTGTTTTCATAAACTATTACATTTTCTTTTTGGTGAACATATATTATTATATTTAATATTCAAAAATTATTGCATCATTGCAAAATATGTCTCATCATAATTATCATTAAACCTTTTTGAAAAAAAATTTTATTCTCATAAATTTTCATATATCTCATAATAATTTCATATTCCATGTATTCAAATAGCATATCCATAATTTTCATATTATTTAAAATAACATACTAATTTCATTTTCCAGTGCTTAATCCACATATAATACTACCTTCGATCTTTAATATAAGACCTTGTTTGACTTTTATTTTGATTCTAAATATAAAACCCTAATCCACTTTATCTCTCATATTTATGTATTTTATTCTAGAAAAAATAATTTTTCTAATAATGGTAGTTCTAACCAATACACTAACAAAGGTATTTTAAAAAAAAAACAACAACTATTTATTATAAATAATTAACTTAACTTATTTTCTTAATCTCCTCAAATTAATCAACCAGTTTTTATATTTAGAACTAGAAATAATATATCATAATTTAATCACATCATATCAATACTATTGTCGAAAATTTTATTTTTTTTGGTTTCATTTTTCCAGTTGTCTCTTTCTTAGTTCAATGCACCTGAACCACTCTTGCTCCGCAGAAAACATAATACACAGAATACCGGTGCCATCAATGCTGCGTGATAATCTAATTTCTCATTTGATATATTTGTCCTCAGACATAAATTATACACTAAAAGCAACATGCTTCCCTAAGATTTTGCTAGGATCCTGCACAAAATCAAGACATACTACAAAACAGGGCTATTTCCCAGTCCAGATTAT